CCCGACTGATTCTATGATTCTATGATTAGAGAGCCCAGTTAAACATTCTTTGACACAGCCAAACCTTGGCTTTCTTCTGAAGCGTAAGCATGACCATGTTTAATCTAGTCCTTGAGTCAGATGATTAGTGTGCACCACATAAACCTCTGATCTGGTTCAAGGACACTGCTGAAGCACAGCAATGTTCGGTGACTGCTGCCCTGAACAAACAGCTCCTCTTTCCACTTCTCACTGTGCAAGGCAAGAGGCACACTCGAACAGCAATGTGCTGAAAAGTCATTTTCTTTCAGTTCACCCCAGCTACTATTCTACTTTTTCTTTCTCTCCACTCAACATGCACCCGTGTCAAAAGAAATTACCCTTTCTTTTTACTCAAAGAATGGTTTCTCATTGTTCCCATGCATATGGTAGACTTTAACATCAAAAATGTTTGATTTCTTTTTCACAGTTTAAACATTAAGTGCTTTCTTCCTGCTTGTGAACTACGAAAAATAAATAGCAATAAAAATCAAATATATTGCAGTTACTGATGAGAGTTGTCTAAACAGCCAGACTAGTTATAAACAGTCCGTGATGACAGACTACCATATGTTAAGCTTCCCATTATTGTGCCAGAAAACATTATAATCACCTTAATTATAGCAACAGTGACTTCTCCCCTCAGTGGTGGTATAACACAAGCAAGAGCAACTACTCCTGTTCTGTAGTGCATTACTGTCTCCAGCAAACGCCATGAGCACATATTGTCTAGCACTTGTGCAAACAGATCAAGTTGCCAAGCATGCAGTTAACCTACAAGGTCTCAAAGGGAAGAAAGAAAGCAAACTTTACCTTGTGTGTTTTGCTGAAATATTTTGTTCAGATCCAAAGAGGAAGCTCTGGAATGTGATTTCTGTGGCCTTGGAGGTGGCGTAGGGGGTTCTTCTCCCTTTTTCATGGCATCTTCTATTGATGTGCTAGAATAAGACCTAAGGAAAAACAGGTGAGGGAAAAGCAGAAAACATTTTATTTCAAAATTTAATTTTAAACAACTACCATGATTAGTACCTAAAAATACACTGACCAGAACTCAGGTTCAGGGCGGAAATTCCTTGCCCTGATGATTAGAAGTTCCCCTTTCTAACAAGGCAGATTTACTGGTAACAGAGTGACCTAAGCATCTGGAGAAAGGAACGAGTCATGCTTACAGGGCTAGTATTTTTAAGGCCTTTGTAACACAGCTTCAGGCCTTTTTACATAACTTTGTCAACAGGAGAACTGTAGCAACTGCTTTGAATAAATCCAAGTAAAATTCCCCACATGCACTCCTTAGAGTTTCTATTGCCTTTCCCATCTGCAAGGGTAGTGTTTATACAGGTATAGCTTCATCCTACCTCTTGCAAGTACACATTTTGTAATTTATTATATTCTAACTATTAGAATCATTCTCTCATAGCAAACAAACCCCAAATTCCACAAAATCCAGAAAAACTGAATGGCTCCAAAGTGACTACAACTGGTCAAATACATGGCCCAGTACGTCTTTCCAGGCCCTCCCACACCACATTAATCCCAATGTGGTGCATTTGCTAAGAATTTTGATTTTGCTGAATACTGCCCAATATTCTTCAGCTGTTGTAGTTACCAGTTTTTCTGCAAGACTGAGACTTTGTTCAAAATGAGCACTGACAATGTGAGATGCTGCACTTACCCACTATGCATGTGAGGGCAAGACCAAAAGGGCATTTAAGGAGAACAGAAATGACTCCCACTAATGGGAAATGGATCCTTTCTTTTGCCAAACAGGCTCCTTATATCTGGTGCCAACTGTCTGATAAAAAGCATACTGAACAACATCCCACTACCCTCACTCTCCAGGTGCAAGTCCATCCATTTACAAGCCACTTCAGACATCTGCTTATAAAGAGCTCATGGAGATCCTCTGTCTCCTTGCTTTACCTCATACAACTTTACAAGGCACTCAGCTTTCTCCACTTCATTCCAAATTCCACGTAAAATTGACATTTTATGCATTTTTATTCTTTTTAATCCAGTATCTTCATTCGGATCCTATTCAAGATCTTCTTTAGGGAGAAGTTCATCAGGATTTGGCATTGCCACTTCCCTGATTTTCTGATGCAGCCCCTCCATTTTCCCCCCACTCAGTCCTTCCTTTGCTTTTTCTAAAACTGTTCTTTTTTCCTTCATGAACATAAAAATATTCTAGCAAAACCCCAACTGGGGAGATACACAGGCTATGTGTCATCATCATGGACTTAATAATACTGTACATCCCATCTGGATTGTTACAGTGAGATCCAACATTCTGTTTCCAAATCAATAAATCAGAGTTACTAAACAGTACATGCACATAGACAGCTTCCCCAGCAGGTCCCACAGCTTGTCTTAAAGGAGTCTGAATCACTGATGATTTACTCTGTCCTCTTCCTCTAGCTCTGCTAGACACAGGACTTCCTGACTTACTTCTTTCTCTAATATTGCCTGACATAGGACTGTCACACTCCTCCTCACTCTCTGAATCAGAGTTTTCAGGACCTGCTGGAGGAGTCACCTACAATTCTACTTGTTCATCATCATCACCAAGTTTATTAGATTTACTTTTTACATTACAATTTTTTCACTGGTTTTACCCATTTTCTCTGTTACTGAATATATTTCAATCTGATGTTTAAAGTCCATTAAGACACTTTTTTTCCTAACATCCCAATCATTCTTTACCACATATGGTATTTCATCCCATTTTCCAACAAGTGCAGCAGGTCTGAGCTCAAGGATGTGCTCAGGCACCTTTATTCTCAACTTCTGCATTGAAATAGTGACATATAGTCAGATGAGGGACAGTCATATGTGATACAGCAGTCACATTCAAGTGATTGTTTTCAAACTTAAGTATTTGCTGGTTTACGTATTTTTGCACATTTCTTGCACATTTGTAATTCAGTAACATAGCAAGAAAATTTAAAACTGTATGAAAACTAAAAGGCTTTGGCTAGCAGCATCAAAATAGCACACAAGGCAGTTCAGTCTTCCTGAAGTAGGTCCTAGGAACAGAGGATTTCAATCTTCAATCATCATGCTGTAATGCTCTCTTACTAGCAGGCTTTGACAAGCTTGTAAGGATGGAGCTCCTGCTTATACTCTCATTACCCAAGAAAAATGTTAGGTAGCCCTCTAACTAGTATCACAAAATAAAAGTCTGAAGGTTAATTAACTGTATGTCTGTAACACCAGTAGGTGAACAGCCAAACCCAAGATGTAATCCACTTACACATAATAATTTCTGGCACAGGTTTTTCTTTTTTTCAAACATCCAAATTCAGCAGCTGTCACTTCTGGCACACAACAGTATCAGTCCCTCAGTCCTTCCATCACACATCGATCAACTGTAGTCAAGTACATTCATGCCAACAAAAGGATTCACTCACCCAAACCCGAAAGCTGAGCTACTATTGCTGTTTCTGTGGGAATGTGCAGTGTCTCCCTCCATATAAAACCACTGTGCAGGTTTCAAGAGCACAGAATTGCTGAGGATGTTCCCTGAAATGGGGTGGTCCCAGCTGTCCTGCCACGATGCCCCTGGGGCTGGGCTGGAGGCAGTCACCACCCTGACAGGGCAGCAGGGCTGGGCACACAGGCAAAACTTCCAGCACCTTATGACCAGAGATCATGGGGCCCTGGGGCAGTACTTATGTAGGGTCTATAGCTTACAGATTCCTCCTGGTAAATCTGTCTGATCTGAGCTGTACTTCCAGCACAACACCAATTAAAAAAAAAAAATCCAGCACCAGTTCTTATGCCTTGTGTCTAACACCAGAGGAACATATGTCTCCTCCTGAAATAGAAATGAAAGCAGTACCTGGATCGTGGCCTGGCTTTAAGTGCATGAGATTCCTGAGCAGCTGGAACAGAAAAGAAAAAAGAACTGCTAAACCATCATATTTTAAATAAACACTTTTAGCTGCAGAAGCAGGGTTCATTAAAAATATGAGTGTTGCAAATGTGGATGTGAGAATATGCTCATCTCACATGAGCAATGGGGACTGATTTTCGCTTCTCCTTCCCCTTTGTGTTTGTACTGTGTGAAAGTCCCAGGAATTCAAAAGCCCACAGGTAGGCAGAGCTTCACCTTTTTAATTTGGTTCCCAGTGCACAGGAAAAGCAATAGGTCTGGCAGCTCTGACCTGTAGTCATGGATAAAGATGTGACAAAGCAACACAAGGAACATCATAAACTTTTTAGAGAAAACATCTTATTCTTAAACCAGATATCTATTAGCCATCCTGCTTCCAAGAGCACAAAGATTTATGTCATTCCTAAATACTTTAACTAATTTGTATAAATGTACATCTTTTTTTCATTCATTTTAAAAAAAACTAACATGTCAGGTTGAGACCGTTTTGACACTGGGAAGGAAAGATATTTGAAGCTAGAAATCTTTTAAGTTTAAATGTTAATCAAACACATTTCTATCAACGTAAAAATGGGTTTCTTTTATTTGGATTAATTCCGAATATCCTGCCACATGCAGATTTTATGCAATAGGAAAATGATAGTACTGACTTTTCTGGGTAATTCCTCAAGGCTGTTCCTTCATTTACATTGTCTTTTCTGTTATTCTCCTTAATAACAACAGATAATTTTGAGAAAGCATACCTGTGTGATTGCTTTCAAATTCATCCCACTGAGATCTCCTCAAGGTATTACAGCAGCATCAACATTCCCAATGCACACACAGTTTACATGGTACAGTTTACATTTCCCATTCTGCTAATCAAGGTACAACACTTACGAGAAACAAGTAGGTTGGGGAAAAAAAATAATTCTCAGAGTTTCTAGCTTCCTTCAGATATTTGCCTACTTTCAAGACAGACATTTATGAGCAGCTACTATACAGCACTAGCTGAGAATACAACAGATCCTCCAAAACACAGTGCAAGAGTTACCAGTGGCAGCAGCTGGCAAACACCAAGTTTATAATGACTTGCACTGTACTACTGCATAGACTCTCCATAGGAAGGTTTAGGCTCACAGAAGACAAGTAGTAGCATATGGCACATGTACAGCCACACACTTGCTCTTCATAAAAGAAACTGCTTTTAGGCTCACACAGTTCTAGTTGGTGCTTTGGATAGAATAAACCCAAATGCAGTTGGCAGTGACACAAATGACCACTTATAAACCAAGTTCTAGTAGATTATTTTCATTGCCAAACTGGCTCACAGTCATTCCAGATTTCTGTGCAACAAATTCTTCCTAGCAACTAAAGGAGGGAGAGGGAATTAATATTAAAATATGCAGTGGTGATAATCCTCCTCCCTCTCTCTCTGTCAAACTCCCAGAGAATACAACTTCAGACACTGCTTCCCTACAGCCATATGACCCAATTTTCCAATGCTGAAATTGCTGATTATTAAATTACATGCATAATTATTGAATATGCCACTTAGAAAGAGGAAGTATAAATCCTTTCCAAGCTAAATCATGTTTAAGAACCTTCAAGTTTTCCTTTTCTTATGGAGACTGTAATTCTCTTCATATTTCTTTTAGAAAGCATTTCAAATAAAAACCCATAGGTAAAAGTGACATTCAAACTCTCCAAGGACATCCTGTTGAGGTAAACAGGAAAGCACATAAGGAAGAGAGAATCCCAAAACGAGTACTAATAAAAAAATGATAGCAATACAATAATCCTGCCAAGGATTCTCTTTTAAGCTTTTGAAAAACCAGGAAATTCAAGGCTACAATTACAGAATACCCAGACTTAGCTGTACCTTTCAAAAGAAGTAGTACAATAAAAAACCACAATAAAGCAGGTAGTTCATTATCAGGACATACAAATAATTGTGGCAGGATTTCTCTAACATATGCAGTTATTTTGGTACACTCTGTGCATACTTCATGTTTGAAGCTCAGGTTGACACATATACATGACATAATCACTCAAGACAATACAAAACTATTTATCCAGTTCATGAGTTTTCCATGTTTCTATTGCTATGGATACATAACTCTAACTTTCATGAAATGGGTAAGTTAAAGCTAGTGAGTAAATAATTTACTTTGGTTATTCAAAAGTTTGTACTATTCCTGCAGCAGTAGAGCCTGATGGACTGAACAGCTTGGTCTGCACTAATTAAAGTCATGTATGATCCTGCATTCTATTTATTCATTCACAGGAGAGCACAATGGTTCCTGTTCTGGGTGTTGAACTGCTCCAAGACCAGCCCTGCAATGCAACATTCCAAAGGATGCTGATTCAGTAACTTTTGGCTGTAGCCTAGTATCTTATACTCTGCAGGTGTCTCCTTGCTTTCCAGGGTTAAAAAAAAAATGGTACCATAAAAGGTACAAGTATGCCATACACTAAAGAAAAATCCAAAGCATTCCTCACTGGCCTAAATCAATCCCACTGACTCTCTTATTGATGGCCTAGGAATAAATGTACAATTTAAACACTCAATCCTTTGGCCTTCAATCCTTTACAAGTCTAAGGTCAACAGTGATCTTGTACTTAGGAGCCTAAATAAACTGGCCAGATATTCAGAGATGCTGAGCACGTAAAGTTCTCACTGACTTCAAATTTCTAGACCCTCTGCTGATGGCAAAGAAAAATTTCACTTAATGAACCATGGCACTAACATCTTTCCTGACTTCACATAAACAGCCCAAATGAATAACCAAAGCATGTAACATTTCTCCCAGTTCATCCCAAATGAGTTCCCATGCTGAAGGTTAATGATTACAATGACCTTTCAGAACAGTGACCGATTCTGAAATAACCACTCAATTACTGTGCTGTATCCAGTTCACAGGATGGATAAACATTTTTACTTCTCACATCAATTGTACCATGCAATCTGAGAATGTGCTTGCTCAAATCCTCAATGTGGGACAGCAACTGTGGAACCCCTACAGTGACAGGAGCCAGGACAATAGAGTGAAGCTCTGCCACTGTCTCCCTTGGAATACAAACACAGCTGGAGGAGCATTGCAGCATCAGGAAGACCTCTCTGACTAGGAGATGAAGGACAAAGGGGAACAGAGGTCAGTGGCAAAGGAGATGTGCAGGTGACAGTAGGATTTTCTCCTAAATATACTGAAGATGGAATTACTGAACTGAAAATAAAACTCTCCCTGTGTGCTCCAGTACAAAACCAGGGGAAGGAGAACAGAACTGAAAGAGTCTTGCAAACACCCTCTCCTTCCCCTGAGAGGGAAGTGCAAGAGTGTGTGTGTGTGAAGGAGAAGCAGTAATCATTTGAGAATAGGAGCCGAAGATAGGAAATCTGGCAGCTGCCAAGTGTTTGGGAAAAGGCCAGGAAAAAAAGACTTGGGAAATGAGGCATGCAGCTGTTGAGCAGCCATGAATAAATCGAGCTATCAGACAAAACCGCTGTGACAGACATGTGGGGTCCATTTTCTTAATCAAGGATATCTTCATGAGTAAAAACATTTATGCAAAAGGAAAAGAAAGCAAATCCAGATTTTAACTTGACTGGGACAAGGGAGGGCTTACAAACATTCTTACCACTCTAGGAAAGAGATTAACAAAGACAAAAGCAGGGGAGGTCTAATGAACTGAAACGAATGCAGGGGAAGTTTCTGGAACAACTAAGTAATTTTGACATATGCTGTTCCAAAAATAACATTTTCCAGAATGATAGGAACAAGGAGTGTATGTTGGAGCTGGAGAGAGAAAAATCAGGGTTGGTTTCAACAAAGAAACACCCCTTGAATCAAAAGCTTGTGTCGGTGCCTTCAGTGTTTGAAGGTCTGTTTCCAAAAGGCTCTCTGTCCTTTAACCCCTTGACGCAAAATATGAAAGTTCAGCTTTACAAAGAGACATTTCAGAACGGTTCCTGAAACATTAAAGAGTTATTCTATACTTTAGATGAGGTTTTACCAAGAGGTACAATGTTCATGCTCTTGCATCTTGTTTGTAGCACAGAAAACTTCAGACAGCTTAAAACTGCTATGTGAGAACATTTCCCATACATGAAGAACCAATATGATAACAATGATGGACAGAAAGCATTAAAACCTTTGACAGCCTGATAGCAAGTAGTATCTATCTTGCAAGTAGTAGTCATTACAAGGTAAGAGCTAATTTCAGTTATAAAATAGTACAAGAGCAAAAAGCTCTTTCAAAAATATATCAAGTTACACTACTTTAGGCTTACTGTAATATAAAAATATTTGATCAAAATTCTAACGTAAAGTAAGACATGACTTTTTTTCTTCTTACCTGTTTTCACAGTCAAGTGCTGAAATTCCTTTGGTATAGTTTTGAGAGTAGTGCTTACTTTAAGAGCTTAACAAAAAAAAAGAAAGATAATTACTTTAAGAATGTGTGGGTAAAACTACAGGTATCAGCTCTGAGAAAGGAGCACCTAAACTGGTATCAGAACATCTAGTAAGGCCAAACATACTTGAAAAGAAGCCAAATGCTCTCAGAAAACCCAAGCACTCAAAATTTCTAAGAGCACAAAAGGCAAGAACAGAAAGACCTATGCTCAAGTTGCCAAATAATCTGAAATTTGGGAGTTAAGTGCTTATTCCCCTTCCACTGAACTCTATGCATCCTTTCTAATGACTTTCTTAAGGAGTTCTTAATGCACCACAGGTTATTTTAATGTACTGTAATACCCAGTGTTAAATGACTACCTGGAATGAACTCATGCTCTAGGATGGCCCTGCTTGAGCAGGGATGCTGGACCAGATTGACCCTCTGTGGATCCTTCTGACCTTACCCATTCAGTGATTTGACCCTCTGTGGTTCCTTCTGACCTTACCCATTCAGTGATTCTGTGATCTGCCCTTACCAAACACAACATGTGGGAAAAGTCTGGTTCTCATAATCCAATTCAATTTACATATCTTCCACATTTAACTACATCATAACCTGACAAAGTAAAGCTAATTTACTTGTATACTTTAGAAAATGCAGGAAAATTTGCTTCTACAGTCCTGAACTACAGGTTCTTGACTTCTGGGGAAATCCCCTCACTCAGGAAAGTGATTTGCTCTCATATTTGCCACAATAGCAATAAATGGTAGAACAAACGCATTTGTTTTTTGGCTGAATAGGTAGGAATGTGTGTCATAAATACAGCAAATCTTCAGCCCTGAAGGACTACTTGTCTCAAAACAGGCTCCCATCTGACTTAACATGTGAGCTACAAATATCAAAGCACTAATTCTTCACCTAAACAGAGAAAAATTGCTTCCCTTAGTAAAAGGTACATCTTCTACAAACACACATCAACTCTTAACAGCCTTTCTCTGAAACAGACACCGTGAATCTATCAGACTTGGTCACACCTGAGTGCATTTCCAGCTGAGTGTGGAAGGTGATTCAGGAATGAGAACTACTTGGTCTCACTGCTGTGATGCAGCCTCAAGGTGTGGACAGCTGGAAGGCCAAGATATTTTATGGTTTTTAATTCATACATAATTCACAGTTCTGAGAATCAGGCAACAAATTATTCACAACTGTTTTGTTTCCACAACTGAGGGACAGCAAGTGAGAATCTGAAAGGCTAGGAAAAGGGAATATAAAGGGGAAGGAATGACTGTGTGATGATCCAGTGCAAGCCATAGAAGCAACTGCATGGGAAAAGAGAAAGATCACTTCAATTTTGCATGGCTTGCTGCTGCTGGATTTCAAGTGAAATAAATGAATCAAGTCTTTTCAGTCCAGTTTGACTAAACTTTTGTTTTTTCAAGAAAATATATGGAATTCTTTTTCAAATAGGAATAAAAACTAATTTTGAAGTGTTTCTGTTTCTGGCAAAAAGGGAAATTCAAAATTTGGCACAATGTAATATTCACTCTTGCAAAATTGATAACAATTACAATTTTGTTTAAGTAAGAAGTGCAACATTAATTGCCTTAGGACTAATAATATTTTAGAAGGTGGATTTCATACCATTCACATATGACAGAACTAATTTTGAAGCAAACCTCTCCATTTATTTGCTCAAGTCAGCTGCTGTGAGTTGTCTCTTTAAATCTACATCAACACATAGCCAGGTTAGAAATTACACATACCATTGCCACTGTCATCAAACATAGGGGCTTACTAAAAACACACAGAATTTAACCTCTAATGGAAAAAAAAAGTTATTTATTTGAATACCTTGTTTGTCATCTTTCTTTCCATCTTGTAACAGGGCAGAGTTATCAGGTACCTCTTCAGCTGATGGTTTCTTAAAGAAAGAAGATTTATTTATTATACTGATTGGTGTAGTCCACATCTTTCCACAGCCAAATATTTAAGAATACAGATCAACACAAATAATTGTGAAATTTGCTCTTGCAGTATGATTTGCTTTGTCAGATAAAGAAGCATAGAGGACCTACAGAAAGACAATATAATTCTGCTTTTCAAGGTGCAACAGTTCTGCACATGAAATCAGTTAGCAAAGCACTTTAACACTGAATCACAAGGAGCTAAGGAGTATATGAAAGGAGAGACATCTCCCAACAGAGCCATGTCATTCTGGTTTCTTTTTTCCCTGGCTGTAACACCTGTGTTAGCATTGGTGAAACCTTTTCCAACCCCTACACAAGAGTCAGTCTCCGTGAGAACAGTCTCTCTAGTCAAAACCAGCCATAGTGCAGAGCTTGTAGTTCTGCTCTAGAAGTTTCTGGCTGAGGTGGCTGATCCTTGAAATACTCTTCAATTTCAACATGCAGTCATCGAGATGGGACAAACAAATTACATAAGCACATTTGTTGAAGGCCCATTCATTCATTCTCTCTTCTCTGCTTGCAAGAGTCTTCCATTTCAAGAATGGTATCTGTTGTGATACTGCTACAATGGATCTCCATTCTGCCCTCAAAACACTCTTCCCAGCTCCTTACAATTAATATCTAGACCTTTAGGTGATAGTTCCTTAGACTATAATAAGGCTGGGTATTAAAACAAAGACTGAATCACTTAGAACAGAACCATGCATGTCTATTCTGTACAAAATCTGAGTGTTGAAAAAACACCTGGACATGGCACTTAGTGCTGTGGTTTAGCTGACAAGGTGGTGATCAGTCAAAGGCCAGATTTAATCTTAGAGGTCTTTTCCAACCTGAATGATTCTATGACTGCTGAAGATATCTAGTCCAAGCCCCTTGCTCAGTCCAACTGAACCTTCTGTACTCAGTTTTGGCCCCTCACAACAAGAAAGACATCAGTGTACTGGAGTGTGTCCAGAGAAGGGCAACGGAACTGGTGAAGGGTCTAGAGCACAAGCCTTATGAGGAACAGCTGAGAGCACTGGGGTTGTTTAGCCTGGAGAAAAGGAGATTCAGTGGGGACCTTATCACTCTCTACAACTACCTAAAAGGAGGCAGTGCTGGGTTAACCAGTAGGTATTAATGATCTTAGAAGTCTTTTCCAGTTTAAATCATCTTGTGATTCTAGGTCTGTGCCAGAAGCCCAATCCAGACTCAGTAGATACTTCACCTGAGCACTGTCCATGTGCCACAATGCCCCTCCTGCAGCACCAGCTCTACCCCTTGTCACTGGCTCCCAGCACTGGAGGGCCAAATGCAGCTACATGGGATACAAACAGGTAAGGTCTATTTCTCTGCAGACTCCAACACTGCACAAGTCCAGCAATGACTGCTGTGAACTCTGTTATGTGGGAATATCTTCTGAAAAGCGTGTCAGCCCTTTCCACATACAGAAGAACTGGCTGAGAGAGGGGTCTGAGATGACTTAATGGGAAGCTAAGAGACTTCTAAAGTCCTCTCGGAGACTGCAGTTCTGCTGCTACACATACCCCAGTCACTGTGAAGCTGGCCTATCCCCTCCACACTGTAAGGGAAGTATCCTGTTTGTGCCTTCTCACCTCTGTCCGACCCAAGTCCCGAGTCTGCTGACTGCCTGGCAACGGCTCCGAGTAAGAATCAAACAGTGTGCAGTCACGCATGGGCTTCAAAGAAGCTGCAGGGGAAAGAAAAAGAAAGAAATAAAAAATCCAATCAAAACACCAAAACCAAACACAGAAACACACCAAGCCTCTGGTTTATACACACTTCTTAAAAAACTGTTCTGGCATAATTTCACTCTTCATTTCTACATATTGGAACTGATCTGTAGGACATGGATAACAAGCATGAAGAGGATCTTTCTATCTTGTATTTTAAATAAGTCAAAGTCATGAGAGGGATAGAATGTATAATTTCTGTTGTAGAAATAACTGTGAAATTTGGGAGAAATTATTTTTAGTAAACATTGACTGTCAAGTGACTGTTTATTTGCATTTTTTCTCCTCCCAGTCCAGGATCAACTTAGTTGATCTTCTACTTTTTACCTTGCTCTCTTAGGAGCATTAAAGGTACTTGTGAAACCCTCAGATGCAATTTTTACTTTTTTGAATACTGAAAAACATTATACACTAAAATTGAAGGCCGGGAAAAAGCAAATGCACTAAATGCAGTGGACTCTGTAGTATATACCATCTTTAACTGAACAACATTGAGGGCAAGGTGAAAAAAAAACAGAACAAAATGAAAAAAAAATCAACTCTAACTTCTCACAGGAATATTCACAAGAACCTAAATTCTATCCCAGCAAGCTCAGGTCCTTCTGCTGGTATCACTCTGGGATTAGTTCCTGAGATAAATCTGTCTTAATAACTGGAAAATAGCTATTTTAAAGATCAATATATCAAAAGGCAGAATAACCACATTTCTAGTTTCTGGCTAGCATCTACTTTATCTCAGTAAATTAAGCTCTTGGAAATCTGTCTTAATTTACAATACAGTGGGGTACATACAGGGCAAATACCTTTAAGAGATTCTGCATATTAGTTTTAATAAAAACTTTCAGAAAAGAAGGTGGTGGGTCAAATTGTCGATGGAGCTGAGCCAGGAAAGCATTTGGACTCGTGCTCGTAGTTTATAGCACAAGTCATAAAACTCGCAAGATTAATGCACTCTTAAATGTTCTTTCTCTCCAAGTCCCTTTATTTGAAACTTTAACAACACTCTTATCAGATGCAAATATTTCAATTGAACCAAATTATGCCTCACGTTGAAACTAGTACAACAACCTAATGAAAAAGAGTTTCCAGTAATCTTCATCTGTTCCTAACAAGCCAGAAAAAAAAAAATGGAAAACAAAATTATAAGTTTCATAGAAATCAAATTATGAAAACACGAAACCACAAGGTTTCTTTTGAAAATTTCTTTTGACATTTGGGTAACTGCATGAGGCACTTGCTTACTTATCAATGCTTTTATTTCAGAAGGTGATACAACCAGCGCTCTACGCCTTCTTGGGACTCATAGTGTCACAGTGTACTGAAATGTTATGCTTTTTATTATTGCAAGCTTTTCCAAAGACAGATTTCTGAATCCTGTCTCGCTAGTGGAATGAGCACAAGATATTGTCAGACCCTCAAGTTAACCAGAATTACTATATTACCCAAGGTATTTAAAGTACCCACGAGAAACAACTAGTCTTTTCACTTCTTCCATGTAGATCAGCTTGAAGTACTTGGTTTCATGATACACCGTGAAGCAATAATCATCTAAGAAAATGGTAGACCCAAGTGCTGAAAGGGATAAATAGGAAAAACAAGGACTTCCAGGGAACAACTGCAGCTTACCCTGCTATTCCTCTCATGCACATAATGATTCCCTGCTACTAGAGATAGTTATTTCCATTGCAATTTTACCAAAAAAAGCTTAATGTGAAGACACACCAAGGTGAACCTGTATGGACGAGCTTACAAGCCAGTTTATCATGAGAACAGGCATGAGAGTAGTGAACAAAGTGGTGGTCCTGGAGGGAAAAGGGTAGTTGTAATTATAGCAAAGGAATGTAATTAGAGAGACTAAAAGTGATGAAGACTTGGAAGCGCAGGTTTTCCAGGAGCTTATTGCTTTGGATATGAAGATAGTGGATTACAGAGAACACGACTCCATCAGAAATTACTTCACAAATCTGATACAGGGTCAACATTTAATTTTCCTAACTGCAGCTTCATTTGTTCTTTTCCTGCCTTTTAATATATTCAGTGTCATCAAATTTAATGGAGATTTTATTAGGTCTTAAATATTATCCCTTAGCACTGTAATTATCATCTGTGATTAATCCTCCTTGCCCTAGAGAGTCATGCACACTTTTTAGATGGAAAAGTATATATTTCAACGTTCATTTATAATTAATAGAGACATAACTGAAGAGAACAAATGAAAGGGCAGGTCTCTCACTGCACATTGTTACTGAGGTGTGTTACATTTTGGATTAATTCATCCTTGTGCTACACAAACTGTCGTAATTCCCCTGTCATTGCTGCAAACTACTTACAGAAGAATCTGTGGATTACATAAAATGAATTACAAAAAAATTCAACCTTTGATATAACCAGGAACTGCATCTAACAAAATATATTAGCATATTAAGTCCTAAAGCAGTCCAGTGTACTTTTCAACAAATCTTCATGAGACAGATATTTCAGGGAAAAGTCATCAAAAGAATTAAAAGCTGTATCATAGATTCATAGAATGGTTTGGGTTGAAAAGGACCTTATAGATCACCTAGTTCCAACCCCTCTGTCACCGGCAGGGTCACCTCCCACTAGACCAGATTGCTCAAAGTGCTGTCCAACCTGGCATTGAACACTTCCAGGGATGAGGCATCCACAACTTCTCTGGACAACCTGTTCCAGTGACTCATGACCCTCACAGTAAAGAATTTCTTCCTAACACCTAGTCTAAAACTACTCTTCTTCAGTTTGAAGCCGTTACTGGATTATCTTTGCTACAGATAACCAACTGCTGCTTTAGCTGCAATCACACCTGAAGCACACTGGAGCAGAGAGGCAGGTGTTAAGGGGCAGGTAACTGCTACACTTTGCATCCCTATTTTTGTGCTTTTATATATTGCTTCTTCACCAATCACCTCATAAGCACAATCCAAAATACATGCCTTAAAAAGCAACTGAAAGCAACTGGAGTATTACTACACAGCACAGAACCCAATTCCAGGACTGAAGGTGAATCTGTTTTACACACTCTGGATTTCCAAGATGGTCACAGGGACACAACCTGCCACAGGAACATTACCTGCTTGAAGGTACTCGGGCAGCAGTGTCTCTGGCAGTGTCTCAGGCAGCTGGTAACCATTCTTCCTTGCAACCACAAGGTGGAAAGCAGCACAAAACTCTGGGAGTGTCAGCGCCCCATCGCAATCCACGTCGCTCAGCTCCCTGCAGATACAACAGACACACATTTTCCAAGCTGTTACCTCAGGGAAACCTATGTGTGTCATCACAGGAGAGGCAGTAATGCCACCCTGAGAAGGGATATTTTAACACAAGACAAGTGTCTGTCGTTTGCACTCAATCCTGACTTGTGTATTTGTCTAGAGGAAGATGAAGCAAGCTGATTTTATAATACTGACGTGCCACATTTTCCTTTTCAACAAAATACATCTTTTCAATATACCATGCCATGATATATGATGGTATGTATATATTAGAACATGAAATACATACTTACAGAATCAGAGTGGTTAGGGCTGGAAGGTCATCTAGCTCTGAACTCCCTGCTGTGGGCAGGGAACTTCCACCAGACCAGGTTACTCAGAGCCCCATCCAGCTTGGTCTTGAACACTTCCAGGAATGGGGAGTTCCCAAACTCTCTGGGCAACCTGATCCAGTGCCTCACCAGCCTCACAGTAAAGAATTTCTAGCTAATATCTAATCTAAATCTACCCCCCTCCTTTATCTTATGGCCATTCCCCCTTGTCTTATCACTACATGCCCCACAGTAAAGCTAGCTAATATCTAATCTAAATCTACCCCCCTCCTTTATCTTATGGCCATTCCCCCTTGTCTTATCACTACATGCCCCTATACAGACCCTCTCCAGCCTTTTTGTGGGCCCCATTTAGATACTGGAAAGCTGTAAGAAGATCTCCCTGGAACCTTCTCTTCTCCAGACTGAACAGCCCCAACTCTCTCAGCTTGCCTTTATAGGAGATGTGCTCCAGCCCATCTACCCCCCTCCTTTATCTTATGGCCATTCCCCCTTGTCTTATCACTACATGCCCCTATACAGACCCTCTCCAGCCTTTTTGTGGGCCCCATTTAGATACTGGAAAGCTGTAAGAAGATCTCCCTGGAACCTTCTCTTCTCCAGACTGAACAGCCCCAACTCTCTCAGCTTGCCTTTATAGGAGATGTGCTCCAGCCCTCTGATCAACTTAGTGGCCTCCTCTGGCCTCATTCCAACAGGTCTACATCTTTCATGTCCTGGAGATCCCAAGACCTGGACACAGTACTCCAGGTAGGATCTCACCAGAGCAGAGCAGAGGTGCAAAATCCCCTCCCTTAACCTGCTGGTCACACCTCTTTTGATGCAGCCCAGGATATAGTTGACTTTCTGAGCTGCAAGCGCACATTCTTCCAAGGGTGAAATTATCCTTTCAATGGCTGGAAGCACTTTCGGCCAATCCATGCAAGATCTTAAACCAGTTCAGGCAGGAAAAGTTTAAAATGGACTTCAGCAATGGTTATATAGCACCATTGACTAGCCTTAAGAAAAGAGCTAAATTAATATTTTATCTTGAGCACATGGAGTAAAAGAAACATATAACTTCTTACTCTTTGAAAGCAACAAGCATTTTTCAAGCTGTTGACGTTATATTAAAAGACTGAAACATCCCATGTGTTTGACACAGCAACACAACCTGATAATTATAATTTTGTGAAAATGATTTATCTACTAGAAAGGAAAACTTTTCTTGACATTTTGCAGAGAGAACAAGTTGCATCAGCAAGTAAAAAAAAAATGTATTTTGTTAACATACTGGGTTAATCCATTCTTTTTAAGTAATCTTAAATTTAAATTCCAATATTCACTTCCCCCAACACTGTGTTTCTTCAGTTGGGTTTTTTCCTATTATTTTCACAACTGACAATCTGCTTTGAAAAGATTCCAGACATATCCTTTGACCCTGACAGATGTTTAGGCTCTTGCAAGCTTTTCTTATCATCTCTCTTCATAAAAGCATATACAAAAATACAACCTCTATCAGCATTTCTGATCCATGTTTAAAACTGTTTGTTCTTCCTATCAGAGATGCAAGGATGACACTGAATTACAAAGCACCCAGTTGTTTATGAAAATACAAGAGAATCCTTGTCAAATTTTATCATGTACAGTTCCATCCACAACTGTGACTCAATAAGCTCATTAAAAATAAGTGTACTGGTTCATTAGAAAAGCACTGATGAATTATGTAGTTGTTCAATTAGGCCTCCTCTGACAAAACACAGAGAGAAACATAAAACCAACAACACATCTAAAACATTCCAGAGGTGCTTCTCCTCTGTGGCATTTCATGAAAAATGTCAGTTCGTTGAGCTAATGATGCTGCTTACAATACACTTAAGAACAGCTCTCAGTTATGTCACTGTTCAAACCTTCCCAGTCCTGCTGAGTGTGCGAACATCGCTCCAGCAAACAAGTGTGTCAGGAAGATCAATGAGCACCCTGCTGCTTGGGCCTCAAAGTGATTCTGGAGATAAGAGCAATAACCATAATTGAAGACACTTTTAAAATTTAACAAGAGCTCTTGAATTAAGTGTCTTTTAAAAAAACAGGATACACATCCCCAGCTCTATTGCAGTACTTACCAGATGTGAGAAAGTTCTGGGATGGGCAGCTTTGATTTTGTGAAGAAGTTCTTTGCTACAGAACCTGTTGGGAAAGCATCCCTTGTCAGCCATTGGAAATTAATGCTTCAAGTTTTCACCTCTTACCAGGGCTGCCGTGCCAGAAGCAGCTGGGTACTTTACCTCCGAGAGACGCTCGGATTAACCGATGCTAGTATAGCTGTTGGACCATTTGTCTCCTTCTGAATAAATGACAGGGAAAGCCAGACAGAGCTGTTGACAGCATTTCTACATTCCCTCCATATGGGAAAAATAAATAAAGGAAAACCCACTTTAGTACTAGTAATTCTAACCAGCACAATTAGTATGTTACTGCTGATGAGAAAACAGACGCACGAGGCCCTGCTTCACCCAGAGGTCACACGTGTGGCAGTACAGTGCTGTAGCATCTGCACTGCTCTCCCAAGGTGCTGCTTCAATCATGACCTTTCCCTGCAGTGGCTCTAATTTTATGAAAAAACACACAAACAAACAAAAAACTCCAAACAAAACTCCAGAAGATTCAGAGAGCACATAGCTCCTGTCCTACTGCAGACATCCTGACTCACCCTGACAGAGCAGCCCTTATACTTCTCCTAGCTAACAAATCCACTTTTCACCATCCCATATGCACAGGCTGCTGGGAGTACCCTGGAAGTCCTTTCTGGGTATAGGCTTACAAAACATAAGGAGACATTAAGCACAGACTCCTGAGACTATAATCCTCTTCTCTTTGGGCAACCATCAGGGAAAGAACTGACATTGAACATCCATTAGCTCTTCGAAGCAAACTGCATGAAGGAGACTTAACTGAGGTGAAGTACTGCTGAAGCACTAATTTCAGTCAGCAGAAGGTAATTTTTTAAATTTTTTGGCTGGATGCAAGCCTCCTGAACCCCAGTGATATAGCAGGGCTCATTAAAACTGCCTCAATTTAAAACCTGTGCAACTTCCTTGCCAGACCAACTGTCTGTACCCAACAGTGGCTCCTCTCACAAGCAGCCTGATCCTTCTATTCAGGATGCAAATTCAATCTCAGTGTGCTCTCAAACATACTTCTACCATGCGTGTGCTCTCCAGGATTGGTTCTTAATTACCTAAAGGTCAAAACTCAGTACTGCAGAGCCATAAACACTTGGGCTTGACCACAGAACAATTAACTGCATGCTCCACTGTCATCACATGGGCACTGCCACAGTTCTGCTGGGAGAGCAAGCACAACCCTCAGAGGTTTCACAACTCAATATACACTGCAGATATGATCCACAAATATAGTGCATCAAATACAAAGAGCTCATTTTAATTTTTAACAAGCCACCAACGCTTCTCTCTAAGATGTAATGATTTCTCTACAGTCAGGATATTTAGGAAAAACAAAATGACCATAGCACTGTTTTGATCTTTGAGTACTCTGCCTTTAAAAAGAAAACACAATCAACTCCTATAAACACAGTGCCAGAGAAAAAAAAAGAATTTATTTACTTAACACTTCTCACTTTCCCAGCCTGGTTTCCCTACTCCATATGCACAGTGTTTGGTAAAAATTACCTGAAATGAAGGCATTCAGGTCGGGCTGCAGAGACCTGAACTGGTTAATGTAGTAATCTCGCTGCTCCTCTGTTATCCTCCAAGGGTCATCTGAGTAGTGGGTGCTGCTGTCCTGCTGCTCCCGCTCCACTGAAAGAGACTGCAGGGAGGGACACTGGCACCAGCCACAGGCAGGAGACCAGAAGGGCATTGGCAACCTCAAGAAACCAGATTCACACTCTTCTATTAGCAGACATAAATGTTTAGACAAGAAGAAGCAGAAATGACCACACTGATTACCATCCCACCACTTATCTGTTAAAACAGAGGCTAATATTAGGTATCTTTAACCAAGCAATTACAGGGAGTCTTAAATGATCAAAATGAAAAGAAAATCTTACTACTGCTGACTATTAAAAGGAAAGTTCAAGTCATACTTCATTACATCTAAATTAATTTGGGGGTTCATGCCATGCATTACAACCCTGAACTGAGCACTTTACATCTCAAACAGATGGAACCAGTAAAGGACCTAAAGCTGTATTTATGCAGTACAGTGCAAGAAAATTTAGGTTTGCTTAGAAACTATGTATTTAATCTAGGAGTGGTGCTGCAACTGTGGAACTATTCCACTTCTGGACCCTCTGCACACCTCAGTAACTTGGCACTCATTATGCCAAGCCAGGGAGACTTGCAAGCCCCTTGAGAACCCCCTTAAGCTTCTGTCACTTCCCACAGTTTATGCAAAAATCCTGCTTTAGGAAAAGGAATATTCTGGAGCAGAAGGACATTTCATCCATTTATGTCTTTGCTGTCTCATTAACATGTTTCAGGGCTGCCTGTGCTTGGATGGAGGTATCTAGAAGAGGGTTACAAGCACAGCCTGTTATACTGAACAACTTAGTCGTCAATATTTACTCCCAGATGATAACACTCACAAAGAGGGAGGGCAGGAATGAAGAACAACCAGGCTCCAACCAGCTCTGGAAGCCCTTTCTCTGATATACCTATTTCCTAAGGATCAAATGCAAAACATCAGCTCTGAAATACATCAAAAGATCCTTGAAACAGGCAACATCATAAAGCTGTAAATTAATTTTCATTTCAAAGAGCTACACAAATGCACCCAATTTCATTTCACGTTAGCACAAATTATGTGACACTACCTGCAGATCTTTTCCGGAGGCTCAGGTGACATTTTAGTGTGGGTGTGGGATGCTAAGCACTTGGGAATAGGTAGAGTTTCTGAGTTTTATTCATTCACGAAAATCTCTTGCTTAGGAGAGCTTTGTCTTTCCTTAGGGCAAACTACCTGTTTGCATAATAAATGCACAGCACGCATACTGGAACATCGGAAAGATCTGCTTTTGCATCCAGCAGGAAAACATAAGACCCATCTCATAAAAGCAAACAAATGCCCCAAATTTAATTTATTCTGTTTGAGATGTGATTTAACCAACTGTGGTGAAAAAAAACAAAATACACAGAATGCTAGGCCATAAATTCTGTGCATATGTTACAGACAGCATTCTAAATCAAGCAGGGATCCCTGTGAAATCTCATATATTTTAAATGAAAATGCTTCACTTCTGATAGAATAACCTAATTTTTTTTTTTTTAAACTAAGGATTCTCAGTCTAGTTTTCCCATCTATGTTATTTGGTGCTTTTCGTTCTACTTACCTCCAGCAATTTAATTAATTGGATTACTTATTTTACTTTCTCCTTCCCATCAGCTTCCCC